AAAACACATATATTTACTATTCCATGGAGGAATCGAGGAACTAAGCATCGTTGTAGATACACCAGTGTGTAAATTTTCCTCTAAAGCAAGGATATGCGGTTTCTTCTGATTGTTTTCACATGGAAGAGTGGCATGATCTGACTGTTAGGTCCTCAGTGGAACCTAGAAAGGTGGAATGGCACTGGACATTCATGGTAGAGCCCACTACGAGGAGAGTTACCATCATATACCTCTTGCCCCTAATGCAAGATTGATTTACCATCTGCAGATGAAGCTTGTCCTGATCTTTTTGTCTTCTAAGCTTAAGGTGGCAGTTTTGACCTGGTGACATTTTAGGTTCTTACTCTCTGAGTAAGTTCAGTTCAGTTCTGACTGAATGCTTTCAGTATCTCTGGATACATTAAGGTCATCTTGCCTATGTGACTGAGTTCAGATTTTTCTAAGAGACACAGTCTTCCCGGTTTGAAGAGCGCCTTCAGACTTGGAGCATGGACCTGCAATACCACTGCTTAGTTAACCATGAATGAAAGCCAGGAATTAAAGACACACTTCTATGATGATTTCTGGTTTTGGAAGGCTCTTGCAGGTACCTCTCAGAATGGTTACTTCTCAATGATCTGCATATGTATTACATGCTTTGTGAATTATCCATGGATAATTTTTAATTCTAAACTGGCTGTCCTACTTCCTGGCATGCTCTCATTAAGATATTCCTCAATGTCTTCTCCTAAGCTAGGGATAACTCAGAAACATTACACAATCTAATGTTAGCATCATAGAAAATAAATGAAGAGGTAAATTTATTGTACTTTTGTACTGTAACAATTCATAAATCAGAAAAAAATATCCCAACAACTTTGGAGTACTCCCTTCTGGAATTGTTTTATTTCTTCCCAAACATCAGTGGTATTGTAGATGATTGTTTTTAAAAAAATCCAAAGTCATTTAGAAACTGACTCCATCTTCCCTCCAAATCCAGCATTTACAAGAACAGAATTGCAATATTGAACCCTGGACCTAGTGGAAGTTCAAGAATGAGAAAGGCTATTGACACATATAAATTCTTCAACCAACTTGAGGTCCTGTGGGGCTTGAACTAAAAGCCTCTCTAGCCCTTTCTCAACTCATGGGAGCCACTTCTGAGCCATCTTGTCCACCCTCTGACACAGGGTGAAGTTCTATTGAGAAGTGTAAAATCAAAGTGAAAACTGGTTGCATCTCATCTCCTCTTTGGGAAAGTTATCCCGTGCCACCTCTGTCTTAAGAGAAAACCCTGCATTTTTCTGTGTGCAGATTCTGCATGAAGTGGGCCCTCTGCTCTTTTCAGGGAGGAAATGTAAGCAGAGCTCTGAAGAAACTACTTGGCTCAGCAGTTTTCGTGATTGTTGTAATTGGCCGAGCCTAAAAGCATGTAGCAAGCTGTACCTGGGAAGCATTTGCCAAGGAAAATGCAAACGCTTCCCTGAAACAGGCATCCGGGTACATGAGAGGAACTGGGCTCATGTGCAAACCCGAGTAGAAAATCAAGGTGTAGGGGAAGGCTGGGCCACCAGACAGGCTCCAACTGAGCCATTTTCTCACTTGTCCAGAGATGGAGGCCACATCACAGGACTGGCCTCACCAGGCATGGTGAGCAGGGTGTACAGGAGGCTTCCTCCTCCCATTATATGCCTTCAGTTCTGTGCCATCTGGCTCCCCACCAGCTGCCCAGTGGTCCTTTCCTTAGCTTTCTCTGGACACTGGAGACTGGAGATCCTCTCTAAGATTCTCGGGCCAAAAAGAAACTTCCTGTGGACTGACTGCTTCTAATCAATCCTCTATGATATCAGCAATTTAGCAAGGCCCTAAGCAACTCAGTGAGACCCTGTCTCTAATAAAATATAAAAAAGGGCTGGGGGTGTGGCTCAGTGGTTAAGCGCCCCTGGGTTTAATTCCTGGTACCAAAAAAAAAAAAAAAATGCTCCTGATTAATTTTAGGCTCTGTCTTTATTCTCAGTAACTATTCTGAAGGTATCATTTTCCTCTTCTGTTGTTTCCATGTCTTGCTGATGCATTATATGTGCGTTTGCTTCATTTGAGCCGCTTTAGAATGGCTTACAATCTAATGGATTTTGGAGACTGAGTACAAACAGGTAACCACTCAGTTGGAAAGAATTCAGACATAGATGGTGTTGATTAAATGGTACCTTAATGTCTCTTTCGATCATCCAGAGTGTCAGATTTTGGCTTTTTCTTTTGTGTTTTCCATGATACTAAAGGGCAGTGGCTTCACCCAACATACCTGGAATTACCTAAAACAGTAAAATAAATAATTCCATTCTGGGGAAAGACAGGAGAAGAAAGTAAGCACACTTTATATTTAGCTTATTGTTGAATTAGACCACAAATCCCTCAAAAAGAGAAAATGCCCTGGATGGGGGTTTACTGTTTCTACCATCTAATTTCTCCTTGTTGGCCCCAGGACCCCATTTCATTCCACTCTGTATTTGGGCCTCTTTGACCAAAGGACTTCTGGTAATACTCCCTCCTAGCCTTTTCCAGACAGGAAGTGACCTTTCTAATTTTGGACTGCGTTAGCAGAATATTTTTTCTTATAATTAATCAAAGATTTTTCTCTTTGGAGATTCTCCCCCTGGGTTCCATCTGTTCCCTAAAGCTGGGCAGAGCAAATCTCATCCCTTTTCTACCTGAATGCCCTTAGTGTATTGGAAGACAGCAATTATAGAGTTTTATCTTCATCTGCCTAACTATTCCCTGTTTTCCAAATTTCTCATGCCAATCTCTTATATTCGTTGGTTGCTCTGGTCTCAATTTATTCCATTTTGCCTTGGTGGGGTCCAGAGGAGGACTGGATGCTCTTACCAACCCAAAGGAAGACAAGACGCTCCGTCCCTCCCTATCCATTTTCCTAATCCCAAGTCCTGACCCAGGATCCTTCGAATGCTCCAGACACCTGATGCCTTCTTCTTAAGAAGTATTTCTGGATTTAAATGCCATTCTTCACAAGTGGACCTCAATCACTAAAGGTCCTCAGTTTTAGATCCATTTGTGGGAAAGGGCATACTTTTGCTCTTACAGCTTTGTTTAGATTCTTTAAATCCCATTTTGTTTGTTTTACTTGAGTTTATAGCAGAGTTGAAGCATAAGGGCAGGGTATCTCTTTTGTATTCAGCCCAAGGCCCAGCATAGGTCTGAGAAATATTTATTGAATTCATGATCAGTGACTGTATCATTAATTGACTTTTCTTCATCCTCCTCCGCCTCCCCTTTCTCCTCCTCCTCCTCCTCCTCCTCCTTCTTATTCTTCTTCATCATTTTAGAGACACCAGCTGTTTTGCTTAGGTCATTATTGTTCTTTTGTCTTTATTCCTGGGCTGTCTATGCTGCCTTTGGAGAAAGAGCCCATTCTTCTATGATTTTATGCCAAGTTTAGTCTTTCTATAGGATTCATTACATCAGGGAGGTGGTAGGAGGGCACAGGTGAGATTTGGTTTGCTGAACTTAATATGAAATACTTTATGTTGACCCCTGACAGAGCTTCCTTGCCAGCACTGCTAGAAGAACCCATGTGGCAAGGTGACATGGTGAGATAAACTCAAGGCTTAAATAGCTTTTGATTTAATCATCATCTCTGCCACATATTATTGCCCATTAACCACTCTGACCTCAATTTCTTCATCCCTAAAATGGAGCTAACCTAATCCGGCAGTTGGGGTCTCAGAATTAGTACAATGTTGAAATGAGACAATATGTCACAAGGCTTGTGGTGACCAGGAGTCAGTGCCAGATCACTGTTGTCATTCTGCAGTTTCCCTGTTCTTCTTCCACTAACTGTGTACTGGCAAATAAATAGCTTCCCACTGGTCCTACTGGTTCTCTTCCATATCTGGCATAATGACGAATTCTTTCCTGCTGGCTCAGACTGGGTCTCTGTCTGTGTCACATCCAGCAGGCTGTCCTCACAGCAGGGGAAGCCGATCGATACTCCTTAATGGTGTGGCTCATTGCCCTGCACTGAGGGCCATCTGAGCATCACTTCCCCTTTTCTCTAGAGACAGAGTATAGTCTGGACGGATGGGCTGGACAGAGGTCAGAAAACCCAGTTCTGATCTTCGCTACACTGATGGTTTTTCTAGTGCATTGGAAATATCATTCAGCTACATGAGCCTCTGATTCTGTTTGTAGAAAATAATATATTAGATTTCCTACCTGCTGACCAGGGTAGGTGAGAATGAATGAGATTGTATCTCTCTGGGGAAAGATGTTATTTGGACATCCAGTCTGGTTTCATCAAGGTGAGCAACAGAAAGTTGCCACGGCTCCCTTGGTACCAAAAGGCCCAGAGAGCCCAGGAGACTGGACCACCATGGTTTACTCAGATGATGAGAACCACACCTGTCTCCCCAGAGCAGCCCTGCGTAGGTGTCCACTGGATGATACATTTTCCAGTCAGGAAATTGGGCATACAGCAGAAGCAAAGGGTTGCCAACCCCACTTCCCACACGAAGCATAAGCGGTGCAAGCTCCTCACTCATGAGGGTGCTCACCTGCACTCAGAGACCTCTAGGCACCAAGAACTCTGGCTCCCCCAAAGTATTTCCATGATTGATTATGGAGAACCTCAGCACTGTAGTTCACACAGAGGCTGTTCTTTGAGACTGGAGTAGAACCCTGTGCCCTTTGGGGCACACCTCCCTGAGTATGTGCACATACTTAGGAGAGCAGAGTCTTTCTCCTGCCCTCCCACCCAGGCACTGTCCCAACTGGGTACTGCCTTGCCATGCCCAGTATCTCCCACAAGGGGGAGCCCCTGGAGGGCAGCTGGGACTGTGGAATTTTGGAAGCGCTGAAGTTTTCTCCTCCTGTCCTGTAACTGGTTTTCACTCACCCCACTGTGAGATTTCTTTGTTGCAATGTTGGGGTCTGAGATAACACTCCTGGAGACTGCGGGCAAGAACCATAGCCAACACCATCTTTTATTGTGTGTTGTTATTTACTAGCATTTTAAACTAAAGAGGCAAAGTAACAAAGAGCTTGAAGACAAGCACAGTTCTCAGGCCCTGGATAGAGGCTGGCAGCGTCAGACCGACAGAACCAAGACATCGGAGGGCCAACGCTTGTGGCTGCAGAGCACAGGTAGGAACCTGGGTGCAGATGACCAGGGAGGCTCTTGGGGAAGAGAGGCACAGAGTCTCTGACAGTGGAAGAACATGGAGCAGACACAGAGGGTGGTCAGCAAAGATTAAAAGGGAAAAGCTGTGCAGAGAGGCATTGGGAGATTAAGGGAGAGAGGAGGGCAAAGGAAAAAAAAATGGTTTTGCCCAAAGGAGGGCAAAAGAAAAAAAAAAATGGTTGCAGGGTTGATGAAAAGGGCTGACCCCAGAGCAGGAGAGGGAGGGTTTGGAAACTGAATCAGAGACTTAAGTTGGTTTGAAGTTGGTTCCAACTCTGGTGCCCCAGAAACTTCACGAGAAATAAGAGGATGGGAGATTGACAGTGAATGTTTAGTTGCACAAGAAAATTCAAAGTGAGTAGGTCTGCCTCAAAGTGGATCATTCTGGTGGTGTGTCACGTAGCCACACCTACTCCGGACTTTGACCTAAACTAGAAGGAATTCTAGTCTGCTGGCCTTTCCAGGTTCTCTCCAGCCCAAACTGTTTCACACTTTCCCTTACTGCCTTCAGACCTTCCACAGTTGCTCGAGGTAATGGACTAGGAGTCAGAAATTCTGTATTCTAGTCCAGGATTTGCCACTTATTGGTGAGATTAGCTTAAGCAGGGAAACATTAGAGTTTCCGTTTCCTTTGTCTATAAAAGGGAGATAATAATATATTACTGATGAGCCTTACAGGATTTTTCTGAGAATTGAATAAGGAAGATAATGTGAATAAATGCTCTTAATAGATTATAATTGCTAGCTAAATAAAAATTGGCATTAATAATAATTAATCAGTTAATATACCCTTACTACTCTCAGCAGGGGATTTGCCTACTGAGCTTTGGAGAAAAAAAAAATATATATATATATACACACACACACACACACACACACACATATATATATATTCATATACATATAAATGCATACATTATATCTTATTCTAGTATTTGTGGGAATATTGCATACTCAGAGAATAGATTTAATGGGGTAAAGAAACACATACATTGCTCTATCGGCATCTCAGCTTTTCAGAGTCCAGAAGTGACCACAATATGCAATTCAAGTGGTTAAAAAAAATCATGGATCAATTTCTTCCCTGTTCCTAGTAATGAATATCAATATCTTGCTTCTTCTAGACAGACTGTCAGCAGCTTCAGATATTTTTAAATGAGTTTTTTAAAATACATTTGCAAAGTCAATTATTTTGAATCTCATCTGAGGCAATTAAAAAACATCCTGACATTTAAGGTGATATTTTTTCCTAAGTAAAATAATTATAAATAATACTAATTATGAACAAATCATTCAGTTACTCTTCGTCTAGTTCAACCTTTAGGTTAATAAACCAATCCATTAAAATTCATCTTGCTCAAAGGACCAATTTGTTAAAAAAAATATATCGACCTTTCACCATGAGGATGACTGATATTTTATTTAACAATAATCAGAGCTGTCTTTCCCAGAAGAGTGTGGTCAAGAGGTAGGTATAGAAAACCGGGGCTCTTTTATGGCTCTCTCCCTAGTGTTTCCCAGATAGGTACAGACAACATTGCTGATGTCGATGATGATGAAGACATGATGATAATGTACAGAACTAAAACTGTCTTAAAGGAGATATCTGGAAGTCTCACAAAACCCAACAGTGTCATTGTTTATGCCAGAAGAAGTGTTTAGATATTTTCCTCTGCCTCTCATGTTTCATAGTTAATAAACATGTAGGGCAGGGATTTGAAATACAGCCCAAGGGCCAATCTGTTTACCACCTGTTTTATAAATAAAGTTTTATTGGAATAAAGCCCCATGTATTTTTATATAGATGATGACTGCATTTCTATTATAAAGGCAGAGTCCAGTAGTCACAACACAGCCCAAACTGACCTATAGAGCCTGAGATATTATCAGGACCTGATAAAAATAGTTAATTGTTTGTAGTGTGGGGTAATGAAAAAAAAAACAGTCATCTTTGAATTTGTAATAGCAATTAATATCTGAGTACCATGTTGGAATTTATAAGATCTGACCATGTATGTAATAGCAGGTATTCTGCTTACTTAACTGAGGGAGAAATTGCAATTAATGGTCATTCAGTCATTGGAACTTGGCCTCTGGAGACTCCTCAGTGGCAGCCTTTAGAGGAACAGTAGGAGAGGGCTCTCAAATGGTTGCACTGCCACCCAGCTGTCTCTTCGGACCAGATGTAGACATTGCCAAAAGGCAGTAGAGGAATCAAAACTCTTGATACTCTGTTTCCTCTTTACCTGACCTTGGCCTGGGTGATCTTAACCTTGTCTTCTTTGTCCCCATTCTCACAAGCAGCATTATAGTAAAAAACAGAAAGAAAAGCAAAGTGCTTTTCAGTCACACAAAGCTAAGTTTATTGCATCAACTCTCGTTTATCCATCTGCCTTGAAATCAGCTCTGTGGCATGGATATTCCAAACCAGAAAATGACAGAACAGTCTTTGCTTTTGGAAAAACACTATATTTTTAAAAGTTTTCTTTTTGACACAGCAGATTCCCTTTTAGTTTTCTTTTTTATTCAAGTGAATATTAAAGTTTTACCTCTCTCCCTAAGCTTGTAATATCTATTAGCTAAATAGACCACAAGGAACCTGGGTATCCAGAAGAAGAAAACTTGAAATATAACCTTCCCTTTGAGATCCATAGGTATACAACAATAGCTGTTTGCAGAGACTCAAGATCTTCTTAATCTTATATTTTCATAGAGAGGGGTAACAGATAAAATGAGAGAAATAAAAATAATAATCTTCTACATTGAGCATTTCCTGGGTTCCAACAATTGAATGAATTTGACTTTCCATTCAAACAACTTCTGAGTCTCCACTCTTACAGGCACTGCTTGTGCATAAGGAGTATCACATAGATGAAGATCCAGATTTCTCTGGGGAATGACTTATTAGAGAACCAAACATGTGCATATGTGCTTATAAGACACATTAGAAATGAGCAATGGGATGGGAGTCAGATAAAATCTGCATGCTCAGAAGAGAAGTTAACTTCCTTGCTGGACAATCACAGATGATATAGAGGAAGTGGCATTGGAAGTGGAGCCAAGTCATAGAACAAAGGCTAAGGTTTGTATGCATTTAGGAAAATCATCCATTGCACATGGAACACATGGTTATAAGGGGATAAGGGAAGATCAGGTAGGTAAAGCAGGTCAGAATCAGATTCTGGAGAGCCTTGGATTAGAGGATAAGAAGTACGGTCTTTATTCTGCTGGTGGTGAAACCAATTAAATATTTGTGTGCAGGAGAATTCCATGATGGAACCTTTGATTTGGAAAAAAAGTGTCACAGATGTTTGATAAGAATTTGGAAAAGGTTACCAGTTCGGGGCCAGGTGAGAAAGTAATATCTTCTCATTCAGCTCTCATGGCAAAACCACTGGCCTATCCCGACCCCTGGTATTGCAGGTTAGAGCCCTGGCTGAGGGCCTTCTGTGGGCATTAATTTAATGGCATGCCAGTGGCATTTACTCATAAAACCAAAAAGCCATTGGGGCCAGAAATAGGGGTTTTGGTTACTTCCCCAGACAGGATGCAGTTCGGGTGATTATACACATGATTCATCGAGGTCGGGAAACAAATCCTCCATAAACACACAGCCCTCCCCTCCAAGCCCAGTGACTCATGGCTTTTTCAGTTTGATCCATGGAAGGCTCTGGAGTCCCGGCAGAATTTGAAGTGTGATGTTAAATCATAAATCTTTAGCATTCACAGTTACAAGAGAAACATTTCTATTCATTTTTTCAATTGTTCAAACAATAAGCATTTATTGAATTCCTACTCTTGTAGGCAAAAAGAATATGGAGCTATATAAAGCACAGTTTCTTCTCTAAAATATCCCCCAGTATAGTTGGTAAAACAGATATAACACGAACGATAGGGAGAGTATCCCATAAGTATTATAATAGAGAAATGCAAAGTACTGAAGGGTCAGAGGGGAACCTATCACTGCTTTTGGAGAGGTGGGATGACATTGGAATTGGGTCGCAAATAATAGCCCAGAAGGGAGATCAGTCAAATACAGCAAGAAGATCAGGGGTAGGGAGGAGGGAGGAAAAGGGAAGGTACTGAGGAAGAAGATGGATTAAATTATATTATGTTCACATACAAATGTGACATAATGAATCCATCTATTATGTATAACTATAATGCCCCAATAAAAACCTTTATGGGTACAGTAAAAAGAGAATAGCTACTTATCACTCTTTATTTTTTAATTCAACAAATAATTACTGAACACCTACTGTGTGCCAGGCACTATCCTGGATGTGAGATTTCTGGAACTTATATTCTATTGAGAGGACCTAGATATTGAACACAGATGGGAAGTAACCAAACAAATATCTTCCCTCGGAGGGTTTACATTCTTATAAAGGAAATTTTCAGAGAACAGCAACTAGCATCTTATTTCAAGGAAGAATAATGTACGCAAAAAAAAAAAAAAGTAGATGAAGCATTAATCTAGCTCCTTGGGAAAGAATGGAGAAAGAAACCTCAGGTTTGAGAGCACCCAATATGACAAGGGGGGTTATTAACAGACCTGGATGAGGGTGGACACATTGCTCTGCACTCTTTGGCTGGCGTGGATAGACATAAGTGGATACCATTCTTACATGGAGAGTCATAGCACTGAGTCCCCAGACATTGTAACTGCAGCCTCTGTCAGACAAATGAAGTTGGTGATTCAGGGTTTTAAGTACAGTGGTTTGGACTCATTGATAATTTTTCTGTACCTTGAATCTGACTGCTCTGCCATGGCTCAGGGCCATGAAGATAAAAATCTTACACCACTGGCCACCTCCTTGCTTAAATAGAATTCAGGTCAAATTCTGTAACAGCCAGCTCTGGCTTGGACTCATACTTGATTGTCATTTTATCGGGTTGTCTAAAATAACCAGGTCATGAGGTGGTTATTGTTATGGTACTCATTGGAATGGGATTTGACCTA